ATTTGATCTACTTTTTTTCGAGCAACCAATAAGTGTGTGGGTATTATGATCTGTTTTGGATTTGTGTGCAGGTGCTACCCGCAAGAAGCCCGTCATCGTACCTGAACATAATGGCGACGGAGGTTCACATAATAACGACACAGGTACATTCTATGATGTGTCGTATGTTGTGTTTAGTTTGTTGCTATTTACCTTTTTAGTGATTATATATATTATCACTATTTGTAATATTTGATTAAGTTGTTCTTATCAGCTTTAAACTATCGGTTTATTAGTGTTCCATGCTTTTATACGTGAATTCTGAACCATCGAGTGTTGTACGTATTCGGTGCCAGAGAGAACTCCCGATGCACCGGGACGTGTCAGCGACCGCCCTGATCACGACCATCCTGACGATGATGTGCCCATATCAGATATTACACCGAATCAGCCCGTCGCTCGACGTAGAACAAAGCTACCTTCAGTACAACAAAGCATTACGACTGCACGGTCTAGTAACCCACAAGAAGGTAACTATTTATGAAATATCTATATTTTATAATTGTCCTGTGAATTAAATACGTGGCTATTACATATACACGACTGTGGGATTCAATTTCTCACGTGACACTTTCACCTGTGTCAATTTAATCGTTGACATTAATATTCTAACTCTTTATTGTTTATAAGCTTATTAATTCTTATTTTCTTCTATTCTGTTTATCTTTATATGAATAAACTATCCGTATATCAGTGTTCTTTGCTTTTATACGTGTGTTCTCAACAATATTTTGTTGTACATATTCAGTGCCAGAACGAACTCCCGATGCACCAGAACGTGTCAACGACCGTTCTGATGACGACCATCCCGTAGACGATGTACCCACAGCAGATATTACACCCACCCGGCCTGCCGCTCGACGTAGTACAAGACTACATACAGTACAACAATTCGATACGACCGCAAAGTCCAGTAACCCAAACCAAGGTAACTATTTATGAAATCTTTATATGAATAACTGTCTTGTGACTACAATATGTGGATATTTACATCTATACGACTGTTCGGGGTTTAATAATTTGTCATTAATCTATTAATTATTTCTTGTTTATAAGTTTTCTTATCAGAGTTTGAATGTCTCAATTTAGTTGGAATATTGTAGTTTTGTTTATCACTTATTGTGTAATTATTTATTCTAATATATGTATTGTGCAGATATAAACAACAATACGGATGAACAACTAATTGGAAAACCAAGCGATAGAGGTCGTTATGTCATTTTTCTAAGAGTTTTGTGTTATTTTCTATACGTTATGTACATGTGGCTTATGTTAATATACACGAGCATTGAACGTTTAAAAAAATCAAATACCTGCTAGCACCAACATTACGTAATATGCTCGTATAGTGTTTTATAAATCGCAGCAATCAAGCGTAGGATTGTTACACCGGATCGGGCAGCGGGACGTGCGAAACGTTCAAAAATGGCAAGTCAGCCAGAAAGCGAGGACGCCAATCAAACTCAAACAGAACGTTGCCAAAAAACGTCAACGAGAGCCGGTATAAAGTTATACGTCTTATGATCACTATATTTGTTTTCATTACACGATACTAAATTGTATAAAGGTTTATATATCTTACAGGTGATGTAAGAGTGCAACGGACTGTTAACGAAAAAGGTGGTACGCATACACTGGAGGATACCCGGGCAGTAACCGATGATGCACTCCCGACCATCCACACGCGAACATCGCCAGCCATATTCGTGAAGGCGGTGTCCGGTCTGTCTGAGGACCAGAGACGTGCAGTCCGCGATATGGGATTTGGAAGCTTGCTCGATTTGACGATAACAGCAACACCGGCGAAAATGGGATATTGGCTGGTTGATAACTTCAACCATATGGACCGGAAGCTGCAATTGTATGACGGTGGGAAAATCCATGTGAAAGAAGACGATGCATATAGAGTGATGGGTCTGCCCCGTGGGAATATTGAGGTCACAAACCGGAAGAAAAAAACAGAGTCGGAAGCATTGAAAGAATGGGCCGATGTGTACAATGTCAACATTGCCACCAAAATAACGGCTACAAAGGTGTTGGATATGATTCAGAGCTGTGATAGGAGCGACGACTGGTTCAAACGGCATTTTTTGGTTCTAATGATCACGTGTTTGTTTGAGAGCTCTCAGAACGGGGTGGCGAACTTACGCACGGTTCACTTGCTCGATGATTTATCGAACGTGAGCAAGATGAACTGGTGTGCGTACATGATTCGGTGTCTGGTGGGTGCTAAGAAATCATGGTATGTTAGTCAGGAGCGCAAGAATTTCACTGGACCTTTGCTATTTTTGACGGTATGTGAATTCGTTCCTCGATGATGTTTATTCTGTTTACTTTATTGGTTTTATCACTATTTATTTATTTGCGTTATTGTGGTCTTTTGTTCGTGTAGCTGTTTTATGTCGACAAGATTGTGTTATCGATTAGATCCGTTCCAAGATCACTACCGATTTTTAAATCATGGAATAACGGTTTGCTGAAAGCGAGAGAGCGTGACGAGGTTGCGGCTGGTGCATTTGGGAGAGGATATGTTGATGATGACATACATGGGTCGGATGGTCATCACCGTGCCGACATACATAGTGGCAGCCCCGTTGGGAATGACATGAACTGTGCGTCGGAAGTAAGTGTGCATGTAAGTGTATATAACAGTTGATTTATTCTGTGTCTTCATTTTTTCATTTTTTAGTTTTTTTCTTTCAGTGCAACAGCTCCATAACATTTGTGCAATGTGTGTAGTTATTTGGTGCAGTCTGGTATCGTTGAGTGCATATGATGTTGTACGAATTATTTTTTTGCATCATATGACTTGCATTGTTGTATACACGTTTAATTTATTCGTTTACCCTTTTAGTTGTTTCAGTCGTTCATGTATGAATTTGCATCAAATGACCATATATTTTTTTGCGTTTCCCCACACGTGATATATTTCGTTGATTGAGGTGGATATGTAGTGTGATATTGCCCGTTTGTGTCTCGTCTTGTTTGTCTAAATTGTTTATTGTATACTTGCTCGTTTTCGTCTTAAGTTTACAGTTTCTTGAATCGTCGCATGTTTGTTACGTTTTATACATTATGTATAATTGGTGCAATCGGGTTCACTGAAAAGTTCAACATGTACATTAATTATGTGCAACCAACACCAATAGTGTATATGTGTTTTTTGACTATTTGTTATGGTTTATATGTGACATATAGGCGGTTCAACCGTATTAATTATGTGCAACCGGAAGCAGTAGTGTATATATGTTTCTATATATGTTTCTGTATTATCTTGATCGTGATGCTATGTTCGATATGGGTATGTATTGTGATTTTATCAGAATGTATATTGTATTTTTTTGTCTTGATTGCTCGTTTACTTTACGGTTATATGATTCTTCAAATTTTCAGTTATTCGATATGATTTATATGTGATGGATAATCGGTGCATCCGTATACACATAATGGTGCAGTCTGTCTAGTAGTTATGTGCAACTGGTACCAGTTCTGTTTATGTGTTTGTCATACGATATCATGCGTGTTATTACGATTGTGTGTGTTTCTGGTTGATTTTTTTGATTTTTTTATATGTTTTGTTTTTATTTTTCATAATAACAGGATTTTGTTCAAGAATTTGCATCAAAAGCCCGTATTCTTGCCACTATGGGTGTTGAAATTTTACAGCTAGTCGAGAGGGCGCCTAAAGATTTATTAGGCGATGACAATTTTATGAAGATGCAGGGTGCCGCACAGAAGCTACTTGGGGTGTCTAATGAAGACGTAAAAGGAAAGTCTAGTCCACAAACACCCATCTGCAATGACGGACCTACCGTTCCCGGACCAACACAGTTAGTGGATGACGCATTCTGGAACGACCCCAAGAATCTGGCTGCCTTAGATGCTATTATCGATGCTGTTGCGCATCGAGACCATTTTAAACGGATTCATCATGAAGGCCCCAGTTTTAGCTTGGGCTTGGGACTTACACCGGATGATGAGGATGCTGATGCAGGACGATTAGATAATCTCAACGAATTCACTACTGACGGTCCTTCCAATGTAGACGTTCCATCAGGTATTTTGAGTCAATCAGTTCACGTTTATAACTATCTCATCTGATTGTTGTTGTATACATGTGTTTGATGACATCCATTTTTTACCTTTTTCTCTCTTTTTTTTTTCAAGTTGATCGCGATGCAGTGGTTAATGAACTGGATGCAAATACAATTCCCGATTGCGTGCAAGGTATTAACTCCATACGTTCTATATATTCAAATATTTTTTTATATTGTTCGTTCTGGTTGTATTTAGGTGCTTCATATGTGTTGACTAGGTGCCGGTGGCGATGCGATTACTGACGATCCTGTTGTTGATGCTGGTAGACCAAAAAGGAGTCCCAAGTTTTCCAGCATGGTTAAGTCACCTTTCAATCAAAGGTATATTGACGTGGTCAAGAACCTCGACAGCCAAGAAAAGGCAGTTGTTAACTGGGTTTTGCAAAAAGCTAATGAGTAAGATTTATGTTGTGCCATTGTGTTATTATTTTATGTAATCAACTTTATTATTCATTGTAATTATTTATTATATTTTATGTTGTGTTGATAATATTTTTTTATACACAGCGATGTGATTATATATCAGACCCTGTCACTTGATTATGCTGTGAAGAGAGATGTTGTGGCATGCTTGACACCGAACACGCAAATCCCCGAGGCACTTATTAATCTGTGGGCTCGTATAATGAACAACAATGAGAAGCTCGGGAGTCGTGGCTCAGTAGCGTGTTTCTTTGCAACCACTCGTCCGTGTAATGAGGTGCAATGTGATATATTTATGATGTATTGGAAGTATACTTATGATATTTGATCTACTTTGTTGTTTCAGTAATATTTACGACAAAAATTTGTGAATATCAGCTATTTTTTAAGGGAAAGCGAAAAAAAGGACGTGAATTACAAGAAGTTCGTAGAGAGGCTAGATTCAGATATCGGACGAATGTGTGGACATAACTGGAAGAAAGTTGCATTGGTATCTCGAATTATTGCATTTTAGATCTTGATTATAATGAGTTGTGTTACATTATAACCGTCTGGTCATTTGTTTGAATTACAGTATGTGTTCCCCATGCACTCTGATGGTTTTAGTGGGCTGATTTGTATTTCCCCGGGCGATCAGAAATTATATATATTTGATAGCGTCGGCTTCTGTAAAGATGCCACCATAAGGAAATCCGTCTCGTCTAATGCTACTATCTTGGTAACATATATATTTTCTTGTAGATATTTATTTATTTTATTTATCACGTGACGTCCTTGTTTTGTTTTGTCCTTTTATTGTTTTCGTAGTTCTTTTTTCACGTCTTTGTGTTACATGATAATATGTGTATTTGTTGCAGCAGCAATCTCTCGCCAAGTACATGGGACACACGAGTATGTCAAAATCTTCAAAAGCAGTCGCACTATCGATGTCGGACTTTGTTGATCTGTCGTGGACCGAAGGTGTCGATGTCGTAGATGCCGGCGTTGTAACGATGCGTCACATGGAGACATTCAAAGGACGCATCACGCCATATTTGAATCCGGACGTGAAGAGGGCTAACAAGCGACAGATCGACCTCATGAGGAGGCGATATTACTACGTCATTGCATTTGCTCCATTCAACAAGTTGAAAAATAAGAACCTCGCACAATCAAATAGGTTCCAGCTGAAGAAAGGCGATTTCGTGTGACGTGTCATTTGTTGTTTGGACACATTAGTCGTATTGTTGGCTTTTTTTTTTACTACATGTATGCGTAGGACGTAACGCTTGGTACATCCGTCACCTGATGTTTGATTCTAGCACTATTGTTTTGGATGAATATGTTAGTATCTTGTTATGATTTGATTTCGTCTTTTCTTGGTATGATAGCGCGACAATATATATACATATACAGATGACTCTGATACGGAA